TCTGTCCTCTGTGCTGCTGCAGAGAGTTAGTTTGCCTGCTTTGGAGTTTTGATTTAGAACCCCAAATTATCCTTGAGGTTCTTTTGGAGGCCATTCTTGACTACTTTACAAAAGAGACTAAAATCCTCAAAAGGAAATACCAATTTTGCCTGATCTAGCATGGTCACGGAAGGGACATTATGACTGCAATCTCAGCCTTTGAACAGAGCCAAAGAGGATGTGAGTCCCCATGAGTGTTGCTGTTTGCTGTAGGTGTAAAGCTTGTTTGCATAATAATGTGCAAATTTTACTTCATATTCCTCCTTAGGGGAATGTTCTCCCTGTCAAGGTTAATTATAGGATAATCAGAAACAATGTGATTCTAGTAAGTGACAATGTATCTGGTGATCCTCAGCAATAAAGAGATAGTGGAACCTTTAGGGCACCCCTTAAGACTGCGTGAAAGATTTCTGAAAGCATGAGTTGTTCAACAGAAGTTCAAGAATTTCTGTTCTTTGTAGGATTTCTCAACTATGAAAAATACAAGGGTACAATATGAATTATATGATGGGCTCCACAGACTTGAAAGAACAAAGGCAGCTACATTAATGAGTCAGCTTAGTTAAAATAACATTAAGGAAGAAGACAGGATTTGGTAAATAGAGGAAAAAAACCTGGATCAAGAAAGAGAAAGGAATAGTTAAAAAAAACAAGGCTCATATAGATGCTTATGTAATATTAGTGGTAATGTGATGGTCTCTTCTACAGAAGGTATCACCAACTAAGTTTGATCCAGATATTTTACTCCCTAAAGGAAGTAGTTATATGTGCAATCTAAATAGAAGTTGGGGACAAACAATAATCTGGTATCAAGAAAAAAGATGATAGCTTAATGATATTCCTACCTTCTGGGATCATTTAATTCTTTTAAATAATAAGCCTTGAGTTGCTGAGATCAGAAAGAAAAATCTGAAAAGTAAAAGAATATATTGAGGTAGCTAAGAATTATAAAAATTGGTTTCAATGCTGCACACATCAGCATAAACAAGAGCTCACTAAGTTGCCAAAAATTCATAAAAAGTATTATACTTAAAGCTAACTTTCTCACATAAAAATAGCCACGCTGTCTATACTTGGAGACTCCAAGTGCTATGCATAGTAAACCATATAGAACTTGCTGTGTTGAAATAATAATAAATAACAAAAATGATAATAATAACTTGGTGACATAGTGCCTGGTTCATTTGGCTTGAATATGTGATGTATTTCAGTTTCCTTTTGTATGTGTGTTTGTGTGTGTGTGTGTGTGTGTGTGTGTGTTTGTATGGAGAGAGAAAGAATGAGATTTCCTAATCTTCTTGTGTCTTTTCTTTGAAGGATTCTAATCTTCTAAAATGAAGTAATATTGTATATGACATTCACGATATTTTGTTCTTAGTCAAGGGCTAAGGACATAAGATGCTGATCCATGGAATGATCAAAAGGGAACCTGGGGTAAATGTTGGAATTTTCTAGGCTTTGCCCCACAATTACCTGGCAATAGCCATGTATGTCTGACTCACTATGAAAGGGTCTGCTTGTTCCCTGCTCTCTCTCTTGCTCTCTTGCTCTTGCTTTCCTGTGCTTGCTACCTTACCCTCTTTCTCCTCTCTCCCCAATTCCCTCCCACCTCCTTCCACATGCTTATGGCCAACTTCTCCTCCTCCTCTTCCTCCTCCTTCTTCCTTCTTCCTCTCTGTCTGTCTGTCTGTCTGTCTGTCTCTCAACTCTTTTCTTCATGTCATGAATAAACTCTATTCTATACTATATCATGGTGTGGCTAGTCCTTCAGGGGGAAGAGTTGTCTCAGCATAGTCCCACAGAGGCACTCCTTTTCCCCATACCATACTGCCCCCCAATTATATTCCTTCCTTCTCTTTCTTTTCATAAAACATAACAGTAAATTATTAATATCCTTGACTATATTTAAAATTATCAAAGAGTTAAGGCTCGGGGACTATCTGTGAATGCTTATCTGGATTAGGTCAATTGAAGTTAGAAAACCTACCCTAAATATGGACAGCACCATCCCATAGCCTGGGGCCCTGGACTGAATAAAAGGGAGGAAATGAGCTGAGTACCAGTATCCATCTCTCCCTGCTTTCTGGCTACTTTCAGCTCTTTGCTGCATTCTTTGCCTTCCATGATGAACTGTAGCCTCAAACTATGACCTCTTCTTTTTAAATTGCTTTGTTCATCCATTTTATCAGAGCAAAGGGAGAACAAAATCATTCACTCAGATACACATGCATAAACTTTATAGTATGTGATGAAAGTATTATGATAAAATAAGAAGACAATTAAAATGTTTTATTAAAATCTTGTCTGCCAACAAAATACTAACTTATGTCTTATGATTGAAAAGTTACTCTGTGGAACATTTTGTGGCTTTCGCTTCCAGGGTGAATGGGTCAACTTTGCTTCCCTTTCCCTATTCCTAGTATCCATGTCTTTCCTGCCAGGTAGTCTAACTGTACTCAATCTGTATGAATATTATGCCTATGAGAAGCTTGTACTTATATATGTTTCTAGCTGACAAGTAGACTCTTAATGGCAGGGCATTCTACTATGTGTCTCTCTGATAGATTAAATAGTCCATAACACTTAAAAGGAAGTGCAGGAATATTTTTCAAATGGCAATTTTGAAGAAAAACTTTGATATTGACAGTAACAGAGAACTGCTATCTGTTAAAATGTCTAACTATCTTGATGTCTTAGTTGATAGAGTGCTTACGTTGAAATCAGCAGATGTGTTGGCATATACTTGTAATCTCAGCATCTGAGAGATAGAGACAGAATCATGGAACTCTCAGGCTAGCCAGACTATCCTATCTCCTAGCCAATGAGAGAACATCTTTCAAAGAAATGAATGGCATTCCTGAGGATGACATCCCAAGTTGTCTTCCAGCCTCCATATGCATGCATGCATGCATGCATGTGCTCAAGTATAAGTGTGTGTGTGTGTGTGTGTGTGCACATGCGAGCATGTGCACATGCATATACATGTGTTTGTGTGTGAGCTTATATCTCAGAAATGACAATACTTTTCTATATTTAAGCATCAGGCCATGTTTTTCCTTGAAGTACCAACAGCAGCTTAGACTGAGTTAGTCTGGAACTGGTGACATCCAGTAAGAGCAATGATGAACCTCAGTCCTGCCAAACCAAACTGCCAGGTCAATGCTCACACACATGACTTCAACTCACAGGCATCTTCTCACCTCTGTCCTGATTAACTACGTAAAATAAATTTCTAAGGTGAAAATTTTGCTGAGTGTTTACTAGACTTATCCTCATTTTCTTCATCTTTCTTCTCTACTTCCTCTTCCTTTTTATTCTTGTCTTCCTCCTCCTCCTCTTCTTCTTTCTCTTCTTCCTTCTTGTCCTCATTTTTCTCTTTCTCTCTCTCCTTTCTTGCCTGTTTGTACTATCTGTTTCTTCCCTGTATCTTGGTCTCATAGGAAATGACTACTATAGCATCTTATGGAGCATCTATTGTTATTCTTGTACTTTAGGCTGGTTCAACCCACACATTCCTCATTTTTCACTATAAATTTTGGATTAAATAAATAGGTCTTTATATTCAAGTCATACACATCACATCACAAGAAAGAAATATCATACACACACATGCACACACACACATACACACATAAACATGCACACAAACTTGCACACAGAAAACATTCAGAAAAGGAATATTATAGAAATATGTGATTTGCACCAAAAGTGTAGACAGGATTGCATATATGCCACCTTCCACAGAAGTCATTTTTGCTGTCAAACAGCACAGACCATCTTAAGTTTCACTGTGTGGTTGAGATGAACAGAACAAAAGTCTATAAGTCTATTATTGTACCAGAATATCGCAAGAAGAGTAGAAACATATTTGTGATCACAGAAGAATGCTGTATGTGATCATGCTATAGGAACATATGTGTATTTTCTCCATTCATTTGTTCAAACAATTATTACATATGGTGGAATTCTGATTTCATAATCTACTTGGTTATAACTCAATTACAAGATTTTATTCTGGAATTGTGTGATAAAAAAATAACATGGTAAAACCATCATATGTGATTATGTTCATATTTCTTCTAGTATAATTTCTGTCTTTTCTCTTACTGGCTTATATCCACTATGTATACACTAATTTCAAAGTTTGATTTACATCTTTATTGAATGTTCATAATCAGCAATGTCGTCATGACAACTTATGTGCTACAGATACCTTGAAAACTTGGAAGCAAGATGTTATTTGCAAAATCTATTGTATTGAGGATTGCACCAGCAAAGAAGCACAGACAACAATGAACTGTAGACTTCAAAAAACAATTGAGTTCTTCTATGTATGTGAAGGCAGTGGACAATGTCCAGTAATAATTCATGATCTTTATAATTAATTGTAATAATGGCAAGAAATAAAAATAATTTCATTTGTGAAACATTAGTACTCTTTGGCCAAGTGAAGTACTCCATGTCTTGCCATTTTCAAGGAGCTAATATCACTATTCAGTAGTTAGTCCCTGTAGAAAGAATTCCTTTAAGGGAAAAATCAGACTCTCAAATGTGAGGTCCTGTGCCAGTGTTGAGGATAAGATAATACCTATCTCTAATCACAGTTAGTATTTATGATTTATCAGCCCTCAGTGATAAACACAGTAGCAAACATGACAGAATATATATTGCAAGCATCCTTTTAAAATTTAGACCTACTTTGTATCTTTTACACTTAATGGATTTTAGCATGGAACAAATAATAGATAATGACTCCAAGACAAGGCAAATTAAACTCAATAAATTTAGACTTCAGAATCAAATTGACCCTGGCCCATATTACCAATTATGGCTCATATAGATGAACTAGAAGGAATGTTATGCTGAAGCTGCCCAGGTATGTGTCTGTGTAGGGTACAGTAGAGCATAAGCTGTCCCTTCAGGCAAGGCTAGCCTTGTTTCATCATGTCACCAACACTTACCATTCCTGGAGAGCAGAATAGCCAGAAAATTCTGAGAAGAGAAATTGAGGTAGAGCAAGAGGGCAGGAGCTTGTGCTGTCATAAAACTCAGTGTGACAGTTTCCTTGGATGGAGCTGCATCTTTGTAGATAGCTGAAGATGAGAGGCTTGGGTTTTTAGTCACTGGGTATGGTTCTTGAAACATGTATGTAACAGAGGTGCCAGAATAAAAAAGAGCTGAGATCTCTGCAAAATAGAAGACAAGAGAGCATACTTTCAAACATTTAGTCAATTACTCTGGGTAGCTGTAATACCTGCTCATTGATTTCTCTGGTTCTAGCATTGTGTGGCAGGTGTTTATATATATATATATATATATATATATATA